GTCCTAAGTTTGATCTCCAGTACCATTTAAAAAAAAAAAAAAATAGAACATTGCATGTCAACCTTTCATAGTATTTTCTTTGTGTACATCAGTTTTAATCATATGCATTGTGTAGTTCCTGGTAACGGTAACTAAAGATTTATTGCTATTGAGATATATATATACATACATACATACATACATACATACATATATACATATATATGTATATATATATATACATATATATATATTTTTTTTTAAACTCAGATTTATAAAAATCTACTGTTTTGGAGTTTTCAGAGGGTTTTGGTGGCCACATGGACCTTGGGCGTGTGGTGCAACCGTCTATCATGGTAGCAGACACATGGCAGAGCAAAGCTGCTCACTTGGCCAGTATACAAAAGGGAGAGGAAGAGGAAGCGCCCAGGGCCCCACCTTTCCCCTTTGAGGACACGCGCCCAGTGACCCAGAACCTCTCACTACACCCACCTCTCAAAATATCCAGCACTTCTAATGGTCCCAAACTGAGGGCCATGCTCATAACATGGGCCTTTGGGGGACATCCCAGATCCAAACTATAGCAGGGCACACGTGAAAACAGAGCAGTCTTGAGGACAGTGCATCAGTCATACTGCACTGCCATTGTATAAGGTGTCTTTATTCGGGGAAGCTAGTTGCAGGGTTCACTCTTTATATACAGCAACTTATTGTAATTCTGTAATTCTTTCAAATAAAACATCTTAAACCACAATTCCAAAAGGGGAAATGAGAATATGATTAATGAACACACCAAATGCTGAGATGCAATGTAAAGAATGATAAAGTAGAAACCAAGAGACCTGGGTTCTAATCCTAGTTTTGTTGATGGACCACTGGCTAATCTCTTAATTTGAGGGCTTTGTTTGCTTTTCTGGAAAATAAGAAAATTGTGCTGCAGAATTTTAATACCTCTTCAAGCTCTTATATTATAGCTCAGATACTCTGCTCTTACACTGGACTATTTCCACTTTCTCCCTTTATTCTATCTGTAAGATTGGACTTACTCTATAATTTAAGCTGTTGGGTTAATAAATAGTACATTCCCTTAGACTTACTGGATGATCTCTGATTTTGTCATTTTTCTCTCCTGACCCTCTTTCCCCTCCAATCAACTCCAGCTGAAAAAAGGAAGGGTGGGCTGGCTGTGGATTCTGGCGTCCCACTTCTAAGTGTGTCAGATCCTTTCGTTCCTCTTCAGGTACCTGATGCACCAGGTAGGTAAATAGAGCTTATCTCAGGTACAGCTTGATTCTTATGTTCCATGACCTCTAGAGAGTTGTTTTAAACATTCCATGAAAAGAATGAATTCTAATTTTTTTTTTTAAAGACAGGATCTCACTGTGTAGTTCAGGCTGACCTTGAACTCACTTTGTAGCGCAGGCTGACCTTAAACTCATGGCATTTTCTCCTCCCTCAGTCTCCTGACTGCTGGGATTATAGTCAGGTGCTATATTCCTGGCTTGTATATTTTTATTGTGTCTCAGTAAGAAGGACAAATTTACTTGGAAGGTACCAGCCAGCTCTTACCAAAGATAATAAAATCAGTTAAGGTTATATACCATGTCATAGTAGTGTTCTGTTTTTCATCCTTAATTGTGTATGTGGTAATGAGAGAGGGCCTATATATCAGAAAGAACATTAATCCAATATGATTATAGTAACGTAGTATGGAACCTCTGGCCATATGATAAAAAGAACAAAATAATAGTGGTTATAGTGTGATCATGGGACTGTGGGTAACTTCCTGTCCCGTTCTCGTTTTTTATAATACACTTTTACATAATAAACATACATAGTAAAGTCCTGTCACTTCCTGAAAACCTTCTGGGCCAGATCCTTTATCAGTGAAGTAAGCTGCACTGCAGAAGGTCATATACCCCTCACAATTTGCCGTAATCTTGATTTTTAAGGAGGCAGTCTGAAAAGTAAGAAATGGTTCATATGAAACAGCTTTTAAAATAATTGAATGTTTTCTATTTGGAATTCAGGACTACCACATATTCCCTTTCTGCTCCCCTCCCTCTACTGTGCTATTTGGGGGTGGTGGTGAGAAATGAAAATCTCCTCTTCCAATGAGACAAATAAATCCAACTCTTTAAAAGCAGCTGGTGGGTCATTTTACTTCATTTTCCCTCTTTTCTCATTCTTATCCTTTCCAAGTCTTGACTTTGAACTGATAGGTTTATCTTCTCTTGCAAAACATTAAAGGCATTGTATTGTTTGCCTCATGACTGGAAGTAATTGTGATGTTCATATCTTTCACTTACTAACGCAGGCTGCAGCTAGAGTTACAAGAACAGCTTTTGATGCTTTAGGTAGTTTGGTGACCCTTCTAAGGGAAAGTAAATACTTGCTTTGATCAGATGGTGGTACAGTGGACTCTTGAGTTATAACTGGACTGATATATAAACAACTTGGGTTATAACTGGAATTTTAGTTTTAACTTACAAACAAAGTCTTGAGTTGTGACCTGAACGCCAGCTGCTTGTGCTTCCAGATGGTCTCAGATACAGATTTAACCTTCAAAGAGTTCTGGAAGGAACATTACAATGTCCTTTCATGCGTGGGATTAATTGAGAAATCTTGGGCCATTGTCTCTTGAAGGACACTGAGATCTTCCTGTGTACAGGAGAGAAACTTCGAAGGCTGTGTAGAGGAGCCTGAGCCTTCAGTTGACCAGCTTGAGTTACAACTAGCCCTCAGGAAAGAATTGAATTCACTAAGTCAGGGGTCCACTGTATTTAATTTTATTGTTTACTGGACCTGGATGTAGCTCAAAAATATCTGAAATCACCAATGATTCAGTAGAGGCTGGTTAAAGAAAAAAGAAAGGAATCAAGTAGAGGCCCTTTTCTCTACCCAAACGCTCTCATGTTTGTGAGTTCAGCCTGTTCTCCTTCTCTTATTGGTACAGTCAGAATGGTCCATGAGTGTATTCTTGGTCTTATTAACCTGTATAGATACGCAGATACCTGTCCTCTCTTTTTATGTTTTAAAAGAAAAAGGTCACAACTTGCAGTATTGTATACCCCTGCCTCGTGTCAAAAGTGGTTTTAATTATTTAATCTTAGACTGATTTGTGAAGGATGTATTACCTTCTTGTCTTGTGCTTGTGAGGGATAAGAGAAGAATCTGAATTAATTCCATTTTACTACATAATCTGCATTAATTCCTAACTCCAACTAAAGCACCTACCTCCTTCTTTCTTATTCTGCACTGCCACTTGAGTTATTTTTAAGAGAAGTAAAGGTGCTCATATGACCCACTTTTACTCATCCATCTCCTGAACTTCAAAACTCCAACAATCTTCTCCTTCAAAAATACCCTTGGGCTGGGGGTGTACCTCTGTGGTGTAGTGCTTTGCCCAGTGTGCACAAGGTTCTGGGATCCATCCCTAGCACCATAAAAATAAATTTTAAAAAAAAGACCTTCAGTTTCCATTATCTAGTCTATATAATTCTGAGTTCATTTTCCCTCAGGGGTCTGTCTTTTCAAATTGTTAACCATGATTTCAGTGCTTCTCCAGGCCCTTGCCCTGACTCATTGTTATGTGGGAACCCTAGAGACTTGAGAAAGAACGGAGTATATTAACAGAAATCACCACTGACAAATATAAGCAGAAAGTTCATAAAAGAAGACAGGTAAATTTCCATTAATTTTTTAAGGTTATCATCATGATAAATCCAAAAAATGTCAGTTATAAAAAAGTGGTGTGTTGTGACTTCCACTATAAGAGTTGGTTTTTGTTTTTGTTTTTATTTTAAGACAGAGTCTTGCTATGTAGTTAGTGCAGGCTGGCCTTGAACTCAGGATCCTCCTTCCCCAATTCCTGGGTGCTGGAATCCTATTAGATTTGTTAAGATGGGAAAAACATTCTCAGGCTTGATGAAGTTGTAGTAAAATGGACACCTCAGATCCTGCTATGAAGATTATCACCCAGTACAACTTCTTTGGAGGATAGTTTGGCAGTTTATAAAGAAAGCCTTCTGGGGGCTGGAGATTTAGCTCAGTGTTGCTGCTGCCTGCCTTGCAAGCACAAGGTCCTGAGTTCAATGCCATACCAAAAATAAAAAATAAATAAAAAGAAGTCGAGTACTTTGAATCAAAACAGTAGGAAGGCTACCTTGAAGGTGTGGAGGAAGCAGCAAGACTCCACCCTTTGGCCTACCGAAGTGAAAGACTTTGTTTTGCGAAGAGAACCTTAGGGCCCCTCTTCTGGAGAAGGGCTGCCTAGGGAATTTTTCCCCTTTTCTGTTAGCTGTTGCTGCCTGCTGTCCACATCTCACTTCATTCTAGGAGTTCTGTTCTTCCATTCTGAAGCCGAGCATTTAAGTAGGAATTAGAATGCACTCATGTTATACTCAGGTATCTGTAGCTTGTTGAGTCTTCATCTGTGTAGTCTTCCTAGTAAAGAGACTTTAATTCCTATCTGTGTGTCTCACCCTTTAGTTTATTTATACACACACACACACACACACACACACACACAAGTGATGACAGATATGCTCACTTAATCCTAACAAGCTTTAAAAATATTTCTTAATCCTCTGTTTATTATAAGAAACTATGTTTAGAAAAGTTAGGTAATTTAAATCCAGGCTCTTTCATCCTTTCATGTTGCTTATTTCTCAGGATTTTGCAGACCTGAGATCCCTGGAATGTATAGTATCACATCAAAATATAAGGTAAAATAATATCCCCAAATCATGAGCACCTTTGCACCATCACCACAACCACTACCACACACAGACACACACACAATCTGAAGTCAGTTCTATAAATATCAGAGTCAACCTAGCAATTGATAGAAAGTGGACTTTTTTTCTCCCGTGCAAAAATCGTCCATTGTTTTTTCCCGTGGAATATGCTGGGGTCCTAGACCATAGAGATTCCAACACAGACAGAACTCCATTTCTTAGGATTAAATCAATACTAAAGTGCAATTTATAAATAATTTGTGGTGCATTTGCGTATCTCTTTGGGTAATAATTGAGAATAAGAGTGTGCGTCTTTATATATATCAGGTATGAACTGTCCCAGAAGATAGCATCTGCTTTTGCATCCAGAGAAGCCATTTTCCATGATTTATAAAAATATAAAATATTTGTTTATTAGATACAGTAAGTCATGATATGCCGAACTGGAGCCTGCTTTAAGGTTTTGGATCTTAAGAATGCTTCCAGGCAGGTTTCCAAAATTCATTATCCTCTTCCCTCAGTTGTCCTGTGCTGTGTTTGCTTTTGGCTTTTTGAGACAGTGTATTATTATATAGTCATCCAGGTTGGCATTGAACTCACTGTGTAGCTCAGGCTGGCCTCAAACTCACAGCAGTCCTCCAGCCTCATCCTCCTGAGTGCTGGGATTACAAGCATGCACCACCATGCCCAGCTGAATATCAGAGTCTTAATGTATGTTGCTTTCTGCTGTAAGGTCTTGGCTGAATTACTTCACCTTTCTGAAGCTGGTTTCTTCATCTATAAATGAGAAAGCTAATCTGGGTAAGAACTGAGGTTTCTTCCAGTACCAGCATGTCTGATAACTATTCCATCATGCCTGGGGTGGTGCCTGTGTGCAGGCTTGGCCTCCGGTGCTGATGGGAAAGGCAGCTCCTGAGGGCCTTGTGTGGAGAGCTCTTTGAAGTCAAATCTGGACTCCATCTGGGCCTTATCTGATTAGGGCAGGTCATACATTCTCAGTCATTGGTGTCCATCTCCCACTATTGTGTTATTATTTCCAAATCCAGGGATTTTTTTGTTGTTGTTGTTGAAAAATGAATGAAAATATTCGACAGTACACTCTACAAATGTAAGCAGTGATTGCTGGTATTATTCTTTCTGCCTCTGTCCTACATGTCTAATGTTTGAGTACTTCCACACAGTGATGACCATGTAAATTATCTATGTAAATTGCCTTTTATTTTCAGATTTGGTCAGAAAATAAACTCCCCTAAATTTGGCAATTTTGCCCACGTTCATCCTCATTCAGTGTCATCATATTACACACACACACACACACACACACACACACACACACACACATCCCACATATTTTTTACCCTCTCATAAAGTACAGTGGACCCCCAGGTTACGACTGGCCTGACATATGAACAACTTGGGTTAATTAGTTAATGGAAGATTCATCTGCCTATTGTTATCTATAGCATGTACCCAGGTAAACATCCAGATCTCAGCTGTATTGACTTAGTTACAACAAACCCTTGGGAACGGATCCATTTTGTAAGTCAAGGGTCCACTGAACCTGACTTTTTCCAGCTGATCCCCTATTCTCTCCTACCTCCAATCAAGCCAGAAGGAGCAAATGTGTCAGGGAGCATTTGAGGAAGCTGAGACTTGGGGATAACGAGGGTTAATAAAGCCCCTTCTCTGCTTTCATTCACTTTGTGTGGGCTGCAAGAGAAGGAAGGGCAGAATGCTAGGAGGCTCAGATGTGGTAGGAAGGTGAGGAAAGACTCAGAGGAGACAGTGCCTTAGGGACTATTCCAGAAGGAGGAGGGAATCTCCATTTTATAGATGAAGAGATAGTGGATTGCATTAAAGTCACTATCTTATCACTGGCTAAAGTTCAAATTCTGAAAGAATACCTACCTGGTTTCTACCAAGTAAGTTTACATCTTTACCATTTTTTTTTTTTTTTTTAATACTGGAGATTGAATTCAGGACCTTGGGCTTGTAGGGCAGACATGGTGCCACTGAGCTAAATCCCCAGCCCAACGTCTCTACTTTTTATCCATTGTTTCACAGGATTACAAGTTTAGGAGTGTAAGTGGAAGAAGCAAATTTTTGTTCTGTTTTGTTTTTGTAGTACTGAGGATTGTACCCAGGGCCTGATATATGTTAGAAAAGCATCCTAGCATATATATACATCCTCAGCTTTTTAAAAAGCTTTAATTTTGAGTCAAGGGCTTTTTAAATTGCTCAGGCTGGGCTTGAACTTTTGATCCACCTGCCTCAGCCTCCTGCATGGCTGGAATTACACACAAGTGCTACCACACCAGACTTCATATATTTTTTTTTTCCATTTCCTGGCAAAAGACACCAACAGTAATCCCTTTGCAGGCTTATATGTATTTTGTGAGATTTAACCTCAGAATAACTAAGAATACAAGCATCTCACAGGTAGGTCCACAGTTGTCATCTGATAAATGATTGTTAAAGTTAGATCAAGGTGAATTGATTCTCTCGGTGAGTTATAAACTGTTTCTAACTGCAAGTTAAAAAAAAAAAATAGATTGCCAAGGAAAAAGGATGCATACCCAAAGACTTCTATGCAGATATTTATGGCAGCATTATTTTCCATAGCTGAAAACTGCAAAGAACCAAATGTCTATCGACTGGTGAATTGATCAGCAAAATGTTACATTTGTTCTGTAGAACATTGCTTAGCATTAAACCAGAACAAACTACTAACACATGCTTTGGCATGGGTGACTCAAAAGTATCTGCTAAATGAAAAAATCAATTACAAAAGACTATATACTGTGTGCTTCCATTTAAAATAGGAATTCCAGGGCTGGGGATTTAGCTCAGTGGTTCCACCACCTGCCTTGCAAGCATGAGGAACCTGAGTTCAATCCCTGTTATGAAAATATATAAATAAATAAATAGGAATTCTGGAAAAGGTAAAACTATAGTTGTAGAGGCACAGCAACGCTCAACAACTAGGCCAAACACCAAGAGGTCTGATAGGAGATTTTATTAGGGAAGGCAGGTTAGGGAGAGAGGGAAAAGAGAGAGAGAGAAAAGAAGAGACAGGAGAGATAAGGAGAAAGGAACAAAGAAAGGAAGGTCCTTTTATTGGTTTTGGGCTGGGCTATTGCTTATTTATGAGGAGTGGGCTACTTTTAACCTATCACGGGCCAGGTTGCCCTTTATGGGTTTGGTCCTGGAGAAACAGGTTTAACCTCTCTGGACACACTGTGGCCTTGCGGGGAAGGAGACTAAAGAGCATGAGGTCTTTAAGAGCCAAGAAGCGCCAGGAAAATGCAGCCTGTGATAGCAGCGTCAGGTCCCTAACAATCACAGAAAGCAAATCCATTGTCACCAGGGAGGAGTATGGGGTATTTTTTTTTTTTTTGAGAGTGTTAGAACTATATGATTATTTCAGTGGTGATTATATGAATGTGTACAGCTGTTCAAAACTTAGCAAATCATACACGTAATATTAGTGAGAACTATTATATATGAATTAGACCTAAAGTAAAAACAAGCAGCAAACGGGGCAGCATCTTGAATAACCACTTCACTTGGGGAAGTGGCCTGCTTTAAACTTTTGAGTTTGAAAAGCCTGTTGTTAAAATACACTAATGGCATTTATTTTTATGTTAGCTGTACAAAATATTGGCCCCTAAAATATATTTGCCTTGAAAACAGTGAATAATCCATTGGCTTTAATATCTCATTGCACTTTTGCTTTCTCTTCTCTGCCTGACCTAGAAAAACTGATTGAGGGACTCAAATCTCCTGACACTTCTCTTCTGCTCCCTGATCTCTTGCCTATGACAGATCCTTTTGGTAGCACTTCTGATGCCGTGATTGGTAACGTCATTTTTGTTTTATCTGTCATGCATGATATTTATATGTATTTGTTAAGCACCTGGTTAGCAGATCCCTAATGAACAGAACTGGAAAGAAGTAAAAGTACTGAAAAGCCTCCTGGTGTTGGAGCTAGCCTTATGCTAGCCCAGAAGCCAATGTTATTTAACTTCTTAATGAAATATTTTTCTTTGGCTTTCTATGGTCACAACAGTTTAATTTTTACTTTTTGGGGTATCCTGTGATTTGTAGAGTGAATTTCTCATAAATAAAGTAGAAAAATTCACATTTAATGACAAAAGTTTCATTTAAAAAGTTGGTTCAGGGCTGGGGATATAGCTCAGTGGCTCTGCTGCCTTCCTCACAAACATAAGAACCTGAGTTCAATCCCTGGTACCAAATAAATAAATATAAAAAGTTGTTTCATAGCCCAGGCATGGTCCACACATCTGTAATCCCAACACTGTGGGAGTCAGAGGCAGTAGGGCTGCAAGCTTGAGCCTAACCTGGACAACTTAGCAACTTTACATCTTCCTGTACTCCAACAAGAAGGCAAGCAAAACTTAAAAAGCATCCCAGGCCTCTATTCTAGGAGGGTCTAAAGCTTTTGGGCAAAAAGTCCTACAACTGAGAAATGCCAGGACCCTACAAAAAGGCCACCAACTGAAAGATGTCACATGGTGCTAAATCCCCCAGAACTGCCTTATGAGTTGGAGTAGAGGCTTGTGCATTAGATTAGAGGATGAATTACAAGATGTTTACCCTAAATTTATTCCTTAAGAAAAACAAATTTGCTGGAAGAAATTAAGGTGCCTTAGGGCCCATCTCTTCTGACATGGAGAAGATGGCTGAACTTGCCATAGTGGTTAACCTTGTACGTGTACACCCAAGCAATGAAACCCAGACACTCAAAGCAGCAAAAATAAAGTCACTTACTATGCTTTCTATATGTCCTGTGACTGGCAATTTGGAAAACTATAGAGGAAAGCCTTCACAGAATTTTCTGAAGAACCTTCTGATGTCCGCTCCCTTACCCTTTCCTTTCTTAATGCCTGTTATAAAAGAAAAAGCTGATGTTGCTGTTGAGAGTCTCATACCAGGACTGGAGCCCCCAGTTGCCCAGCGTCTTCAATCTCAGACGGAGTCTGTGACCTCAAACCGCACAGGTCAGTCAGGAGTCTGTGTCACTAAAGGGACTGGTCACTGTGGTCAGAACCAGTCTTTGTACCTGTGGTAGATGATATTTTGCAGCTTTCTTAGTTCTTCCTGAAAGAGATGCTTGGAATTCTTATAGCCCCAATTTTTATATGCTGAGTGTACATTTCTTCTGAGTACTTTTTGAAGCCGTGTTCTTTTTAGAGTGACCCTGGCCTTGCCCTGGTGAGAGAATTTCTTTATTTAGGATTTTCACTGGTAGTAGGTTCCCTCCACCTACTTAATGAAAGTACTCTGCTGAGCTGTAAGGCTGCCTTGACTCCTCCAGGTTGCTGACTGCGAGCAGGCTTTCTGGCCTAGCAATTTCAGTGCTACATGGGGAGCCCATCTCCCCTCTGTTGAGACTCCTTTCCCAGCACAGTGTTTTAATCATTTAGAGGTGACTTAGCCTTAAATTGTAGGAAAAGTCAAAGTCTTCCTTGGGCCCAGTGTTTCCGTCATCTTAATTTTAAAATTCAGTCTTAGAATACATCATATAGTAACTTTCTTCCTGCGTGTCTTGGGATAGTTTGCTTTTTCTCAAATGGCACTTACTAAGAATTGAGTTGTTAAAAGTTTTACTGGCATACAAATTCCAGGTTTGTTTAAGAATTAACCTCTGAGTTTAAAATTCTCTACATTTATAAGTTACTGTTAAGAGGAAACTAGAAAAACGTGAATGGAAACCCAGAGAGCTTAACGTGTTTCTTCTGGTTTTTTTTTTTTCCCCCTCCTGCCTTGGCTTATATGTATAACCTGTATATGTAATAATTTAAAAGCTAAGATCTAATCTCATGATATTATTGTATGTGCCATTTAATTCCATCTTTGACCTGGGATGCTGTTAACTGGACTCAGATTCTCTCACTGGGGAAGATTCCCTGCTTGACTGCTCTCTGCTTTCTAACCCTACTGCTGACCTTCTGGAAGAGTTTGCCCCCCTAGCAATCTCTGCTCCGGCTCATACAGGTAAATTTTGCTTCTTGTCAGGGCTACATGTGTCCCTGGAGAACAGCTGAACAGCTTCTGAGAGTTGTCCTCACCCAAAGTCTTTTAGTACCGTGTTTTAACTACCTTCTTATATGGAAAAGTTGAGTTTGCACTTTTAGACACTGTATTATAATACCACTCAGAATTTGGGGGTGGTACTAGGGATCGAACTGAGGACCTTGCACTTGTGAGGCAGGTGGCAGCACCACTGAGCTAAATTTCCAGCTCCCATTCAGAATATTTAATTAGCTTTAGACAACAAAGTATTTCTTTCTGGCAAGAACTGGGTACAGCTATTCGATGTTACCTTCGAAAGCCATGTACCTTCACAGTCAGCCAAGTAGATGGGTGAGCACACTATCCACTAATGTAAAAATTAATATGGGCCAGGGATTTAGCTCAGTAGTTCTGCCGCCTGCCTCGCAAGCACAAGAACCCAAGTTTGATCCCAGGTATCAAAAAAAAAAAAAAAAATT